TCTTTACTAGTTCCGCTATTATTAGTTTCAGATGCGTTAGCATCCTCATTCCATGAGTCACTTACCTTGGGTATAGGAATGATTCCGTTATCATCATCGATTTTTTTGATATCTTCTATATTTTTTCTGCACGCTAGATACGGTCTAAGACTATTGCTAGATTCACTAATTATAGATATATTAGATGCGAAAACATTCTCACTCTGTAAGTCAGACTTGGATATATTTTTTTCGTCATTTCCACCAACTATTGTGGAACAGGTCAAAGAGTCTACAGATTTTGATATAGCCTCCGATTTCAGGTGATCGAGTTCGCTTCTCACACGCTCCAATTCAACTTCTATTTGTTTAAAGTCATCTATTTTAGATTTAAGGGATAGATTCTCAGTTTCCGTTTTCGTTAAGTTTTCCTGAATCGAAAATGCGTCTTTTTGAGCTGATGCTAACTTACTCTCCAATATCTTAATCATAGCCTGGAGTGATTTTATTTCTTTTAATTGTATATCGTATCTGGCTTTATACTCATTACGGGAAATCTGTAATTGGGTAATCTGGGATGTAAGATTAGTGTTGTCTACTCTCAATCGTTTAACCTCATCTATAAGCTGGAATGCATGTTTGGAGAGTTTCTCTTTATCTTTATTGAATTGTTTTAGATTATGTTGTATATGTTTATTTTCTTTATCCAAGATAGAACATTTATTAGCAAGTCAATTATCACATTCTATAGCAATTTCCCGATCTTGATTTGTGCAAACAAGCTGATTTTCAAGTTCTGTTCAGCTAGACGGATATCAATTGGTAGGCATGTCTCCAAGTTTTTTGCCTCCACTTACATCTGATAATGTATGAATTTGAGACATCCTATTGATATCTAAAAAATTAAATATATTTGTATTTTAAATGTAATATAATATATAGAATATACCTATATATTTGCAAAGATGTACTAGATAGAATATATATATTAGATATAATATACGTATTAGATGGAATATACGTATCAGTTATGATGTATTAGATCGAATATACATAAAAAAAAATGAATAATAACTTGTATATTCTATTTTTCCAATATATTTTTTTATTTCAGTATATTTTATATTTTTTGTTAGATATAAACATCTTATATTTACATTTACTACTATGCCTAGAGTACGTATGCGGTCTGATGCACCTCTATTTTCACCCCAAGATTATTCATATATTATGCAATGTCGTGATATAAAGTCAAGATATAAAATTTTAAATGAGTTGATGGGTAAGTATAAAACATCGACAAAACGTATTTATCAGATTTGGAGAGGAGAAGAATCTAATAGAATTCTTTGGGATCAGCCTATACCTCACTTAAATGATAATAATGATGACTCTAATCATGATAGCAATATATCAGCAGAGCTGACACGGCCAAATTCCATTGGAAATATATTTCATATAGAGTCCCAGGTTTTAGATGGGGATAGTGCTTATCCCATGTCTCAAAGAGACGTTCCTATGGACATGCAAAGTGATAATGTATCTGAAGAACGAATACGACCAAATAAGTGGACAAAAACAAAGATTCGAAGCTCTACTTCCATAGATAATATATCGAAAAGAAAGACGGATCTTGAAAAATTAATGAAAGATACTGATAGATTGGCACCTATAAATCCATCTTTGTTTCAGTAAGTTGAGAACATCTTTCCGCAAGAACTTTACCTGCGTTTAAAGCCATATCAAGCCACTCTTCAGTTTTTATGAGTCGTTTTTCGAGTTCATTATATTTTTTACAATTTACACATTTTTTTTTATTGCGGGGGAGACCGTATTGTGGGACAATGGCACTTGTGTGCCTAGGCGATTCTCCAAATCATGGCTCTTCGAATCTACCTCTGAGGCCTGTAATTTTTCTGTATTAAATGCATTGCGTGATTCTGTATTAAATGCATTGCGTGATTCTTTGCGAGTAGAAAGAGGAATTGTAATAGTCTTTCCATTGCGTGTTGCTATAAATTCCCCTTTTACTATAGGATCCCATCTGATATGATGTTGCCATTTTGTACCAAGTATCATTATAGATATAT